ACTTTCTGAAGCAGCAGGACTGCAGGGTTTTTGCCTTGCAGAGCAGTGCCCTATTCTGGGGTTTGAGGAGTGACAGCTGTGGCTTCTGCATGTTTTGCTGCTGAACGAGCCACAGGTTCTGACTGTAACTGCAGGGCAGGATTCCTTCCTTCTTTCCCAGCAAGGGTGTCTCTGATCCAGGGCTGTCTTTGGGTAAATACTTCAGTGCAGCTGGCCAAACCTGTTGTGCATGGTAGGAATAAAGCTTGTCTTTCAAAGGAAGAGGCAAGAAAGGCATCAGGGCAGGGACCAGATCTGGCTCATATTTGTAATAAGATGATCAGATTTTAAGTGTGACTTATTCATCTTAAATACTGAAAATACATCTGTGGGCTTTCCTTCATCAGAGTCAAAAATATATGATAAGATACAAAGCACAAAGTATGAGATAAAGGTGAAATAATGGTCCAAGCAGGTTTTTTTAATCCAGTTGTTTTTAGTCCTTGACAGGGAGGAAAAGTCTCTCGTGACTGTTGAGTGCTCTGGAAATTTCCTCCTTCCTAATAAAAACGTTTCTCCCCAGCCCTGGGCTCTGTCACTGTGCTGGATGCACACACTCCTTGTTTCCCCTAGACAGTCCCTGCAGATCCCTGCTTATAGGGCAGGGGAAAATAAGAGGAAAAGGGAGGGGTTTGTCCTTCCCAACAACCTCCATGCAGGTTGTGGGTGTCCTGCCGGGCAGGAGTGTGCTACAGGTTCCTGCTGCACACTCACCTGAACTTACGCTTTGACTCTCTCAGAGCTTGCTTTGGTTCTTGGCTACCTGAGCGATGCAAACCCCAAAGAGCCCCATCCCTGGGAGCAGTCTGGCTCATCCACTCGTTTTCTGTCTCCCAGCAGGGAAGGCAGTGGCCGCCCAATGCAGGGGGACATTTGTGACACGTCTCAGGCAGGAGCTCGGTGGCACCGCTAATAGAGCGTGGCTGTCTCATTTGTAGGCTCTATTCATCTGACAGCTGAGAATTATCAGTACTGATGCTTCACTCCCTCTCTCTTTTTCTCCAAGGTAGTGATTTGTCTATGTTATGGGTAGGTAAGCTTGACAAAACATTACACATTAGCAGCTGAGACGGTGTTTGAAATGGGAAAATTGCTGGCAAACCGCTCCATTAGAGACCCAAATAACAAATTCTTTCTTTCCCTCAAAGAAAGGGAGATAGTTAAGGCCCAAATTAATACGTCTGTCTCCCCCACTCTGCAGGGGGAATCACTCTTCAAGACAAATGGCTTGGTCTCTCCTGAGTGTGAGCTGGCTCTGCTCAGCCCACGTTAAGCAGAGTTTTTTTTATCCTTTGTGTTTCGCCATCCTGGGCTGAGCAGTTACAGGCACCACGTGAGGAGGTGATGAAAAGATTTGCACCTCAGTGAACTCTGAGATGGATTAGCATGGGAATTTGAGTGCTTATTCTTTCCTCTGGGATAGTTTTTCATCTTTAACTGCATGGTTTCCCCGTGTTTGTTTTGGATTTTTTTTTCTTTGATATGTTTACTTTTTGCTGTCATTGCTGCAAAGTCATTTAAAGAGAGTGGGAAGAGGGAGGACTTTACCCTGTCTAACATCATGTTGTTACAAGAAAAATGTATCTGAATCTGTTGGGCCCTCATACTTTCCAATCTCTTGATGATATATTAGAGAATAGAAAGGAAATTGTTCTTGTCCTTTGATGTTGTTGTCAAAGACACTAAAATAAAGCTTGGAGAGGCAGACAGAGCGTTACTGGGTGTCAGGAGGGGGGAGACACGCTTCAATTCATCTCAGCACTCAGCTGGCAGCAGGAGACATGGCACAGGGAAACTGGGAACTGAACGGAGGAACAAAAGCTGCTGGGAGTTTGAACAGGGCCAATTTATTGTATCAGTGTCGTGAATTCTACTTGTCGAGTCTTGTGAGCAGATCCAAGTATGAAATACCAGAGAAGAATCAAGGGAAATTTTCTCGAGTTGTAAGAAATCTTAAATGCAGGGAGTAGTAGTTTAAATTATGAAAATTTACCCTTTTAGGGCTGTGTGTCTTGTACACGTTTCTCAAATGTGTTGTAAAATTATTTTATGGTATATTCTGATAATACCCCCCAAAAATGAACTCCCTGATGCTGCTTTGCACTAGCACAGATGGTTTTATAGTGTATGACAGCACTACATAGTATGCAAGGATGGACCATGAAAAGCACATTTTTCCAAAGATCATGTTCTAGGTAAAACAGGTAATTTTCTCTGAAATAAAATGTGGAGGTAAAATTTAGATTAGCTGTTCAATTTTTGGAGGAAAAAATGCCAACATAGGTAAGGACTATGTTTTTCACTTTGTTTCAAAGATGGCACCTCTAACAGCAGTTTCCCATTATGTCTTGAACAACACTGTTTTATAATTAAGCCTTCATCACCCTGAAATTGCCAACACCCCTTCTGGCAGAACCTAGTGTTTCTTGAGATTTTTAATCCTCTGCTGTCCTTGACATGTCATTTACGAGCTCAGATGAGGTGAAAGCACAAACTATTAATCCAAACAATGTGTTTTCTGCTATTTTAGTTGTGTAAGTGCATTGTGTTTTTCAGGCTATGCCTGCCAATCTATAATTAAAACACGTGCTTGTTTAATGCAGCGTATTTAATGCAGCACAAGCACTTATTTAATGCTCCAGGATTGGCTCTATTTTGTGCCCAAGTTGGAGCCCACCAGCAAACACATCCTGATGAGAGCCTGTGGTGCTGCCTGTGCTTCCCTGGTAGGATCTGCAAGATGTAGTGCACTGAGCAGGATGGCTGCTGTGTAGTCTTTAGTGCTTCGTTTACAGAGAGATTCAAAAATGTAAGGTCTGAGGTGAAACTGCAGCAGCAGATGACACCAGCCTTGTCCATCTATTTCTGTACAGACCATCTGCTCTAAACCCTGTAGGAATGGGTGAAGAGTTCAGCAGTAGCTTCAGAAGGCAGCTCTCTCAAAGAACTCCTGTTTTTGTCTTCCTCTCCACCTTTTCTGGAAATTTCTGTGGTTTTGTTTGTTTGTTTGTTTGTTTTAATTACTTGGGACATGTGGCTATTCCAATTTTGTATTTTTTTCACCCTACAAGAGGAAAATTCTGTGTGTATTTCCACCCTTAAATCACTAAAATTTCCTTGGAATTTTAAGTCATTATAAAAAAGGACGTGTTCCTCCCCCTGCCCCCCATCTTTTTATTTGAGTTTCCCTGCAAGGACTGCTGTGCCTGTGTGCAGGAGGTGCGATCCCCCAGTTTCCATCCCCAGGGCCAGGGAATTGGGCAGGCACGGCCCTCTTTTGTTCCTCGAAGTGTCTGCACAGAAATACTTGGGAGGAGTGAAACACCCAACTGGCAGGCTGACAAAAAGCCTTTATGGGAAGAGTATGTGTACTGCTAATTCTGGTGACAAACACCCAACAATAGTGGTGTGCTGGAGCTTGCAGCAATTTGCATTTCACTGTGGACTTGCCAGAAATGAAGCGTGTTATATTTAGACCAACTGGAAGGGAAATCTCAGACACTAATTCAGATCACAAAACAAGGAGTAGAATTAACTCTGATCACAACCTTTAAGATAGACTGCTACAGAAATAAAAGAGGGCATGCACGTTGGCTGTACAAGTTGACTGTGCAAATATCACAATATTTGACACTTAAATAGCTTCTTAGAGTACAACTGTGCTAGCAAATCATCTTATTTTCAAGGGGATTTTTTCTCTTGTCTGTGGATCACCAGAAGGATACCCTGTGCAATAGAGAGCTGATGGGCCTTACACATTTTCTCTGCATTATTCCCAAACCTTGATTTATTTCTCCCTTCTCCCATTTCATTTCATCTCCATGCCTGGTTCTAAAATTTTTTTTCTCCCCTCTGCAATGCTGCAGCAACTCCAAATGACTAGAGTGCTTCATTCCATCATTGCAGTATGTTTTTGTATTTCAATTCCATTTCCAACCACAGATTTTTTACTATTTAAACTCTTTCTTTTTTATGGCACTTTGGGGAAAAAATACACAACATTTGAATAATAAGTAAGAGCAAGGAAAAATCACATTTTACTCTCAGTTCCAACTCTGTAGAATTTTAGCTGTCGTGGTCATTGGAATTTATTTTATGGGAATCTACTTTTACATTTCTAATTGAGATGAACACTTAGAGTTCATCTGAGGAGAAGTTATTCCTTTTAGCAGGAATTTGGGGAACTTGCTGACAATTGAAAGTACTTCTGGGAAGGAAGAGAAATTAATCTTAGTGGTTACTGTATGTGGTATCTTAAAGCTGCTTACATTTTATGTTAGTGAGACGTGCATTTATGATACTTCATAAAGAATACCTCTTTCAACCCAAATCTTAGAAATAAAAACAGCAGCATTTTCATGTAGTCCAGACCATATTTTAGAAAACCTTCAACATTTGGTAGTTAAAATAGGAAGATACTGTTCTTTTTTGTACTGCTTTAACATAAAGTTTCTCCCCCTTTCCTCTTAAAAACCCGAATTCATCTTGCAGTGAATCTACTTTGTTTTTTAGCATGTTCCCACAGGTTCTTGCTCCTTGAATTGTTCTGATAATATTATTAATCTGCTTATTAAACTGTCACAACATAGCCTAGCTTTTAGTTCAGGTGGCTACGTTCTGTTTACAACACCTAGTCAAGGAAAGCATCTGCATTTTTTATTTTCTACCTTAACTTTCAAATATACATACTGTTATTTATTAATTCCACAAGACTTAAAGGTGCAGTTTCTCTAACCTGAGGCTTTTTTCCTGTACCAATTTAGTGTAATCAAAGAGATTGGTTTATTTTCTAAGTTATTTTCTCAGTGTTTTCTCCATTTGGTGGATTTCAAAAGAAAAAAAGTGTCTTGCATAAACATAAATTTGTTTTTATATTTATACAAAATTTGCTGTCATGTTTAATGTGATTCCCGATCCTGTAGCTGTGTAGTTAACATGTATATTGCTTTGTTTGTTTTCAGACGTTTGGAACAAAACCTCATCAAAATCATTCCCCCTGGAGCTTTCACCCAGTACAAGAAGCTTAAGAGAATGTAAGTTTTAATAAGACCAACATGCAAAGGCAATCATGAAACTTCCAGCTTCAAGTTCAGTATCTTTATTTCAGAAACATATTGGCAATTCTGTGTTGAAATCACTGGGGATTGCACAAATAATCTCTTCAAAGTGTAAGCAACAATGGAATTCGGTTCAGGATGCCTAACAGTGCATGAAATCCTTAATAATGCTTAATTTCACTTCCTATTATAAACGATGTGATCTAATTAGTTGTTAGTCTGTTCAAACTTCGAATCTGCTTCCTCAGAAAAGATTTGAAGTCCCATTTTTTTTCTCTCTTTTTTTCTGGTGTCTGTTTGCAGCAGTTCAGTGAAGTTGACCCCACTTAGAGCAGGAGTGAGGATTTTTTTTGTAGTGCCTTCAGTGGCCTGATGTTGAAATGGTTTGACTGTTTAGAAGAAAACAAAGAAATCTGCTGGGGAGCTTGTTTTCCCTGTTGCTTAATCACCAGTTGATACCCAGACAATTATTTTTGTATTAGCTCTTGTGTTTTCTTTTTGGATTAAAAAAAAATAAATAACCCTGATGTGTAGCAGCTCTGTCCTGCAAATAACCCAGGCATTCCCCCAGCTGGGTTTTCTTTTCATTTTTAAGTGGTGTATAAGAGATGATGTGACAGTAGCACCATGACACAAATAATGGTAAAGCAAGTTACTCCTGGTTGATCACAATATCAAGAGGTTTACGGTACCACTGGACCAATAACTTCCAGGAGTCATCCTGGCTTTGTAGCTCAGTGCTAACACTACTGAAAAGGTGCTTTTGCAGTTCTTTTCTGATGTGAACAACACTGGGATTAAGACAGTGTGAACTCATTTCATGGAAGACACTGGATGAGCAGATAGCTAATGCTTTTGGAAACTGAAATGAGCTCCTGCAGTCCCATTGATGTAAGGGTGAAATGACTGCATTTTCCAGTCCAAACTCACCAAGCTCCTAGAGCTGAAGAGCTGTAAATATGGATCTTAATATTTAACAGGTCTAATCATCAATCTTAGAGGGTCTCCATTCTTCTGTCTCACTTTCAATATAGCTGTATGTATTTTTAAAGAAGTCCTGTATTGGATAGTGAGATGGTAATTTCAGTGAAAAATGATGGATCCCTTACCAGTGACCTAACTTGTAATTTTTTCATTATTAAAATCACTACATAGTTCTTTCTGAGGTGTGACTAACTTTAGGTTTTGGCACTGTTTTACTGTCCTTTCATTTGTCTTGATTGGTGAACTCTAGTTTTAAGGGAGTTGACCAGAAAAATGTTCTTTCATGTTACTAGCTGCTCAATCCAATGCAGCACTTACTATGTGAAATGATTAATGTTAGAATTTCACAGCAGAATTCCATTAGCAAGTTGTGTTAACAGCTTTCTGGAGAAAAATTGGCATACTCATTGAGATCTGAACTCATAATTAAATAATAAGTTATTGTGCCAGATGATCTGTGTCAAAGCTGAGTTAATGGAAGAGCATTTTGTGGAGGAACTTGGGAGAAGTATTTGGGCTGCAGAATGCCCCGTAACAAACATGATGTTTTGCCATTTGGTTATTGACCTTGTTTAAGTTTTGTTCCTGCTGGATGGTGAGGTTTTAAATTGAGCACCACTTCAGTTTCACATAGTTTAATTGAGGACATTTGTTTCAGTATTTGAAGAGATTATTGACATTGTCTTTTCAGTGTGCAAGATTCCCGGTACTGTCAACACAAAAATATACTTTAGTCAAAAGACTATCTCTTAAAACAAAAGAATCATCCCTTTTTTTCCATTAGAGGAAGGACATGTTCGATATCACTGAGCCTTTCTTCCTTTCTGTCACTTTGATTTCAATGAGCAGTGCCATAGCATGAAGATTATCAATTTAGTTAATTGATACTCTGCTCAGGGCACAAATGAAGAACATTAATATAATTGTTGTTATTATTACTATTAACCATTATAATATTTTATCTACTTCAGAGGAATATTAGCATACCACTGTAAATTTTATTTTTCTCCTAGTGAATAAATATACAAGAATGTTATGGGTAATAGCCTTCTCGATTGCAGCACTCTGAATTTTGATTGTTTACTGAGTATTTCCTGCAAGATTAGACAATTTTTGTTTCTTAGCTAATTGGATAACTGAGATTAATTTTTAAGTAAGAGCCAGTTGTCCAAGATAATCTTGATAGGGCTTGATATTAATAGGTCAAGATGATAGCAGAGGATGGATGTTAATTCAAGTGTTATACTTGCATGTAGCTGAAGTTTGCCCTTTAGAATGTCTCTTCAACAACTTCTAGGATGGGAGAGCTACTTTGGTGATCCAGTTTTAGCTAAGGAGCTGGAATATTTTGTGCCTTGACCTTAATCATAAATGCCCACATCTCCTCACACAATTAATGACATGAAGCTAAATGTATCCATCTCTTCTGAGAAGGAAGATTTGACACTTGAAGGATTTAAATATGCACTTGAATGATACAATCTGGGGTGATGGTTTCCCTGATTTTGGGGTGTGTATAACCCCAACTCTGTGCTCAATTATTCAAGGGCTTTAGAAGAGGTTTCAGGGGCTTGAAGGAGACTCATCCCATGTCCAGGGGTAGAAGTTGTCATGTTTGCATGAAGTATCCAAGCCCAGACAAACCATTTTGAATTAATTCACAGAGCAGTTGTGCTTGTACCCATAGTTCTGTAACTTTTAACTAACAAGTTTGTAGCAAGTTTGTAGAGCAGGACTAAGAGCCAAGTACATAGAACCACTTTGAAAGATGTTGTACCTCTCTGATGCTTGTCATGACATTCCATGTTGTCAGATTAATTTTACCACATATTAGCAGAAAACACATTGAGATGTCACAGGCTTCCCAGTAGCTCTGTGGAGTTGCTACTTTTGTTAAGCAGCTTCTAAAAACTAAACCATATATGACATGGAGTTTGCTGAGTACTCTTGTCAAATGAGAACAGTCCATTTTACATGTGAGAGATAATCAAGTAATCTGTTTCTAATAATGTTACTCAACAAAGAGCACATTCATCCAATGCTATTAATAATTTTGCATATAACTGCATCTAAAAATAAATCTGTTTTGTTTCAAAACCTTTTACAGTAAAGACATTTAAGCCCTGCAGTTGTATGTTGCACAGTGACTTGCAGGGTATCCTTGCTCCCCTGGTGTAAAGTCAAACCCAATTTATGTCCCTAACTGGTAACTGAGCACAGCCACCCTCCAAGGTCTGTTCAATAACCTTTGGAAAGATTTCTGCTGTGCTGCCAGAGGTGCAGGGAGACAAGTATGAGGTGACTCATGTATTCCCTGCCTGAGCGGAATCCTGGTAATTTTATTACATTTCCAGTTGAAGAGCCACACTTCCCCTGAGGGACTCAGAGATACCCTAAACTATGAAAATGAGCCTTATGTCATCTAAATTGTCTTTTACAAAAACCTGTGTCTCTTTGTCTTGATGTAAATCAAGCACAGAATAGGACAGTCTTACCCAAGCAGGCCAAACGAAGGGAAGAAAAATACAAGGACATAATTGAATCCCTTTCCCTCAGACAAGTCAGATGGAGCCTCCTTATCCAACAGCAGAGGAACTTGGGCTCTAATGGAAAGGAAATAATGTGTCTAATTATCTTCTAATGCTGATTGTAGTGCATCTGCATGAAGTGAGTGAGTGTCATCACCCAGCATGGCATTTCTGCACGTTCAGGCACCATTAGTTATACACTCATTAGTGTCCGGACATGGGGAGAGAGGAAGGATGGAGATGTGGAAATGCAGCAAATCAATAAAACAGTGCTGAAATCCTTGTTTCAAAAATCAGATGCCCCTTTCAGATGCTTGTCACTGTTCAGCAAATCCATCTTTTCATGTGATTTTAATGGATTTTAATACGTTGCTTGATAAATAGAACTGATCCACATCAGATTTCTGCTTGCTAGATAAAAAGCAGAAGTCAGCCTAAACAAGTTGCACAAAAACCTGTATAAAAGTAAATATTCCTACTTTCACTGTGACAAATTTGGCTGGTGTAAGTTGAGCTGAAGAACCAGAAACCTTCCACGAGTGCTGTCGTGGCAGGCAGGATGTTGTAACAGAAAACAATAGATTGCAGAGCAAATTGGTTTGATGAGCCTTATAAAATAATCAAATCTTAAAAAAACTCAAAAATCTCACTTTGTGTGGCTAGATTTGAAAACTAAGGACTGCATTAAAATGTTAACCAACATAATTTGTGGCTCAAAACATGTATAGAATGGCAAACCTTCTTACTTTCTGATTAAGTTCTCATTCAAGTGATGTTTATTTAGAGTCTACTTAGCATGTGCCCCAGTGGAAATATCAGTGAAGATGTACTTGAAATACTGTATTACTGCAGTTTCAACTCTCAGGGAAGAGATTTAATGCTGGTGATACAAGCTGATACCAACTGTCAGGGAATGCAGTGAGGGTGGCTGAAAGTTGTCTCTCAGCTAAGCACTTGGTTGAACTGATTGACAGAAAGTTTGGGTGGCAGTGACAGTCATGATAAGGCTCTGAGCATCTGGGTACCACGTGGAGTAAATTGGGCTCCATCTATAAAGATGCTGTGGCACAGTCTCTATTCATCTTTGTTGGTTATGATTAGAACTGAAGGGTATTTTCCTAACCAGGAACACGCTTCCCTCGCAGATGGCAGCAGGCTGTGCTGAATTCCACTCACACCGCAGCTGAAGGGGTGGAATCTTGCTGGGCTCCCTGGCAGGGTCTGCAGCACACTCACTGGGTGTTCCCACAGCGCCTTCAGAGCTCCACGATTTCCATTCAGGTGCTCAGAGGCTTTCCCCAATGTCTGAAAACTCTGGGCAGACCTACCAGTGCTCTGTCAGCCCTCTTCTCTCAGCTGCTTCACCAGATCAAGGTCGTGCTGGAATTCTGCCATTAAAAGCCAGGCACCACTGGTCCCGTGCTGAGCTCCTCAGTGGCACTGGGGCCTGCTTTGGGATCAGGGGCTGGGCAGTCTGTGTGATCCTCTGTATTGTTATAAAGTTGGCCTCCCATGCCTGCATTTAAACATTCAGACAACCTTTATGCTTTGTCATGGGCTGCTTCTCGTGCTTGAGGGCCACCCCACAGAGTCGCAGCGCGGTCTCCAGTAGTAACAGCTCTTAAGATGGTTTTATCAACATCACTGTTGTACTCCAAAACTCTTCATAAAAACCTTTGTTTTAATGTCCATAAAATGAAAGACCCCATTAACAGGAGAGCTCTGGTTATTGAGGCTGGTGGCTTGTCATACTGACTGATGTTTCCTGATCCTTCCTGGAATTTGCCTATCTGTGCCCTTGCATCATTTCTCTGAGTTAATATGATCTTTTACTTCTGTTTTTATATCTTCCAATAAACTACAGCTAGAATCTTTTCGTCAAATTCCTGTTTACAATTGTTTTTTTAATCCTCCCTTCTCTTTGCAGAGACATCAGCAAGAACCAAATAACTGACATTGCGCCTGATGCATTCAAAGGCTTGAAATCTCTCATTTCATTGTAAGTAGAAAATAGAACTGAATGGGCATTTGGGGAGAGCTTGCATGGAAGAGGAATAAAAATGATAATGTGCTGTCTGGGGGAACATATGTTTCTGTGTGCAATTGCCAGCTTGCGTGAAGCATCTGATCTTTTGTAAATGAAAAATTGGTGATGAAGTTTAGGAGAGACTGTTTACAAGTCTCTAGTAAGCTCTTTTATAGATCCACACCCCCAGGGTTGCTGACTTGTTCAGTTCTTCACAGAAGTGCATTAGTTGATCTTCATGTGCACCTGCAGTCTGGTCCATTCACCCCTTCTCCTCATGGCCCACAAAAACCTCAGCATAGCTCACACGCTGTTGGGTGGTGTGGAGGAGCTGGGAAAATACTTCCATACTGAATTTTTCTTCCAGAGTACAGAACTGAGATTGCATTCTCTTAAGAGTTTTCTGGTTTATTTCGTTTTTTGTGGGGGTTTTTTTTTGTTGCTTCTTTTTTGTGTGTGTTTTTGTTTGGTTTTTTTTTCTTTTTGTTTGGGGCTTTTTTTTTCAAACTAGTTAGGGAAGAACCTAAACTTGTAAGAAAAATGTTTATATTTCTTATCTGTGATTAGTAATTTATTAAGCTGGAAGGGGTCTAAAATATGACTTCACACAAAAGATAAAAAGAAGGTAGGATCTCTTGACAGCCATTCATTTCTCTTTATAGAGCACAGAAACTGGTTTAGCACCAAGTTGAACTTACTTGCAGCTATATTTCAACCTAGGTGCTCAGAGCACTATTAAAATAATGGAGCTTTTAATGGGTAAAAGGAGCAATGCAAGGTCAGAAGCTGCATATGGAGGATAAACTAGAATAGACTGTTAGAAAGAGCCCAGGCTGAGAGAAGAGGGTAAGCATAAATAGAATGATATTTGCCTGCCTTTCTCTTAAGGATAGTTTTAAAACAATTATCTCATTAATATTCATATAACAGAGCTCAATTCTTTAAAGAGTGTAGTTTATTTCTATAAGCTGCCATAATTTTATTCACTGAGTACTGGGTAATTCTGACAAACTGGGTAAACTTGTTGACTAGTACTGATATTAGAAGGTTATTAGGTATTAAACTTACATGTTACAGTAAACCTCTGAGCCAGAGTTCAGAAGGATTTGCCCTTTTTTGTGACCTGAATCCAGCTGGGAGAATGCCAGAAATATATATTAAGTGTTGCTGGTGTTTGTTGAATAGTTTGGCCAGTGTTATTTCCACATGGTGTGGAAATGGTCAAATCCCTCAATGCTGTCTGGAAACAATTCAGTGAGTGAGTGACATTTACTGAACGCTACAGTTTTGGCTTAGTATGAAACTACTGCTGATGCTGCAGTGCTACAGCTTTCTGGTCTTGGCAAACCTCCTGATTTAGGAGTGAGCTGGACAGGCAAGACATTTCCACTGGGATTGGCCTCCCAGTGCAGAAGTTATTCAGCTTTAGCTATAGTTAATTCAGATACCCCCCGGTGGCCTCAGGAGTGGGATGAAACACATCAGAGTGGACAGAGAGGAAATGAGAATGTAAACTGGGCAAGAATTTATAGTGTTTTGACTTTCATACAGAAGCAAGTGAAATGACTGTGTATTCTCTGCCCAGTCACCCCAAATGATATTTTAAGTAAATGACGTTTAAATACGTTTATATCCAAGTGGGTAAAATATTGCTTAAGTTAACGCTAAAAGGTTACAGGGGAGAAGAGAGAGGGCAGGGAGATGAGACACAGCACAGAAAAAGCTGTAGCAAGGGAACTACCTCTGGGCAGTCTTTCTTTTGCTTGGTGTTGTTCTCTGCCTCAGTTTCCTTCTACCACAGACACACAAAGCTGTTGTAACACACAGTTTCTGTTTGGCAGGCTTGTTTCTAAGACAATATCAGACTTGTTTCTAGGACAGTATCAGCTCCAGTTTTGAAATTGTCAGCCTCTTCCTCTAGGCTCAGTTGTCCACTATGCTTTTACTTTCTTCTGAAAGGTTTTACTCTTGCTTTTCATTGCAGGTAGGTCTCATATAAATGTTTTCCCTATGGTTGACAGGCAGTGATTGGTTCCCTCATCTTTCACAACCTGTCACCCAAACCTTTGGCAGATTCCTCCCTGCTGGTCACATCTGTAGTTGTTGCAATTTCTGAGCCCTGGATATCTTTATGGAGCAAGATTATCTGCTGATCTGCAGAACCTGGGTTTCACTGAAGAAACCTTCCCCAGGTTTCTACCTCTGAGAAGCAGAGGATCTTCTTTCCTCTGATGTCTGCCACAGCCACCAGTCCACTCCTGTCAGTCACAAAAAGTGTAAGAGAAGATGAATCCTTTGAAGTGCCAGCCCTGCCAATGTTACTGCCGAAGGGGGAAGAACAAGGAGGTGGAAATGAAGTGAGACAGTTGCTTAGTGGTGTTTTCCCTCTTAAGCAGCTCTCTCTGTCGGGTGCCCGAGGCCCCAGTGACTTTAGCCAGCTGCATGCCCTGAAGGAACACAGCTCTACATACAGTGCTTCAGCCCAGCTGAGAGCAACTTTTATTGTCCATATACCTCAGTCAGATGTGATTGGTGCATACATTTTAATGAGGCACCACCGAGGTTTAATCTGTGAGCAGAGCAGCTGGACTTTGCAGCTATCTGAGTTAAAATCAGAGGAAAGGAGGGGGAAATATTAATGCACAAATGAAAGCAAGCAGCTTGGTTTCCATTAAAAATGAAGTACTGCTGTACTGCCTAAAATCCTTGCTCTTTCTCCTCTGTATTATTCCCATTTTCTACCCCTCCCTTTCCTCCCTGCTTGCTTGCAATTGCTCCCTATGGGTCTGAGAGAGTGAGAGTGCTTGTCTGGAAGGCAGCCAACATTGTTAGACTGGCTGGCTAATGGAGCCCTATGTACAGTGGGTCCTACTCTGCTTTCTTCTGAACTGAACTCAGGTTGGTGTTTCCAGGCAGAACCGTTTCTCAGAGTACTCTGCCTATTGTAGAGATGGTAGAAAAAAATTGGTGTATTACAGTTTTCAGAACACAGGAATGTTTATTATAGAAGCTGTTTCCCCTCAAACATATAAAACTTAAATCTTGAAAAAGTGTTAAGTGATCCATGTGCTAGCAGGTCATAAGTTTTTACTGTAAATCTATATATTTTCTTTAGCAAGAAATCTACCTGTGGGAGTCAAATAGGTCACAAAATCTTTATGCTTCAAAGTAGTCATTTCTACCTTGGGTTTTCTCTGAGTACAGCAAAAGAAAGGTAAGTTTGTTCTTGTAAGGACTCAAGACTTCTCCATTCCCCACACTCAGGAAGAAATAAGTTATTTTTTCTATGCTCATTTTTTCAGTGGGATTTCATTCCCTATTCATATGACTCTGTGGAACAAGGAATTTCTACTGTTTTTCTTAGAAACATTTGGACATGTACATAACTTTTTTTTCCTGGTTGTTACAAGAATAAACAACCAGAATCATTGTTCTTAAAGAACCTTTTATTATTATTATTATTATTATTATTATTGTTCACAGAGTTTTCTGGCTTTTCCTTTTCTCCTTGTGTTACATGCAGGTTAGCCCTGGGTCTGTATGTTCTGAGGATTTAATTCCATTACAGTGTCTGAAGTTCTCTTTCAATATTTAGGCATTAGGGCTTAGATCCTTAGCATATTTTTTGGTAGGAACCTTCTCAGGTTTGATATGAAGGTTCAAACCTGCTTATGGACAAAACTGGGGCTGCAGTAAGATCCATGCTCTGGGTTTGGGAGAACAGAGTTGTGGAGAGCTTGCTGTAAAACCATGGCAGGGACTGGAGGGTGTTGTGGACTAAGGACTGAGAAAAAGGACCTTTAGTCTTAAAAATGCCACTGTGGGATTTAGGAGGAAGAAGTTACAGTGCATAATGTCAGTGAGAGCTGCTGGGCAAATAACTGCTTGTCTCTGGCAAAGTGTCCCCTCTTGAAAAGGTGGAACTAATTCTTTGTCTTAGGGAGATCATAGTGTGGTGCATATGTTGAAGGCTGTGAGATGTTGTGATACTGCAGCACTTGGACCATAGGAAATATCCAAGATGAGAAACAAATAATTAGAATTATTTGAATCTAAAAAATCAGTGATGTGACCATGGCTTTCATGTTGGAGGGTTTAGTCTTGCCATCCAATGCTTCTTTCCATATAAACACAAGAGCAACCAGTACCCTTGCACTGAGAAGTGTGGCAAGATTGGTTAGTTGTAAAAGAATGTGCTATCTGAATTTTTAAGCAAAAGTTTGAGAAATACTGAGTTTGTAGTGCTTGGTGTTTGTGTTCCATGGTGAGCATTGCCCTGTGCTGGAGCTGGGTGGGTAATGACTCAGCCCAGAGCACAGGGGCCAAATTAGGAAGAGTTTCATGTTTCAAAATTGCTGCATGCACTTTCTGAGGTAAATTAATTTTTCATTTAATCAGCTCGAAATCTGTCTAATATCAGTGAGAGGATTGTATCAGCATTTGGTTACTGTTAATAGGATCAAAGATAAATGTTATTCTTGGGGTCCGTAAACTTCCCACAAATGTAGGTTTGGAAGGCCATATCCAGACTGTCTGGGGACATTTTATGAGATATGACAAAATAGTCTAAGCCTTCAGGGTGTTAAACTGCATGAACAAATTTTAGACCACTGCAGAGGGAGAATTCCTTTGGTTTTGTTCATAAACTGAATTAAGCTAGGGAACACTTTAAAAGCTTAGATCAGCCTGGGCACAAAGACAAGAGACAGCTTAGGTTTTGACATAGCAGTCCCATTTAGACCATCATCTCCTGGATGATGATGTATGAGGTGTCATTCATGGTGATTTGAAATCTGCAATAAAACACTGTCTATTGCAATAACTGCCAAATTTATTTTAAGGTAACAAATTGCTTTGGATAGTTTTACTGTGATTTATTTAGCTTAACTTGTTCGGAAGAAATATGTAATAGTGCAGGGGGAAAAAAATTACATGTCTAAGTTTCTTTCAGATATTAGAAATTTATTGCTGTTTTTATCCCTATCAATTCCTCCTCTTTTGAAAACCTGGATTCTTATTGAACCTGTGCCATCTTACATACCTTGGGAAATATAATTCTTCCTAGCAAGAATTGTTTTCACAGTCTGAAGGAAAGTTAAAAGCATTCTGAGGACTGAAAAAGACATTGCATAAAGTCACAATTTGACACTTCAGTAAGAATGTTTCAGCCAAGCCAAAATAAAGGAACACTTAGCTGGAAACCATATGGTCTAAAGTAAGGGATTCTGTGCTAGGCTTTCATACCCCAAAAATCTCTGTATCACCTTCAAAGAGAAAAAAAAATCTCAGTATTCTGTGATCTGACTTAATGAAGCAGCTAAATTGCAGCTACATTTGTAAGTAAGGTGGGCTGAGAAATTGCAAAACAGAGACAACACAGCAATTATTGTTTCAAACCCTTGAAGGTGGCATGTTAAACTTCAGTGAGCATGAAAGGGAGGGTACCCCCGTTGGTAAAGTCAGTGCAAATTCCTTCCTTTTAAAATTGTTCAAGAGATCAGAATGGATAGAGACTGTGAAGAACCACTGAGAATTTTGTTTCAAGACCCTGCTGCTTGAAGGTTTGATGCAGACTTAATTACCTTCTCATCCAAGAAAACACAGTTGTGGTTATGTGTGCTTCCAGTGCTTCCTTTGTCTGGTGTGTCCCAGGCTTCCAGATGAAGCCATGCAGTGACTACTTCCACTGTTTAATCTTTATTTTTAACTACTTACAACATCCGTTGGATTAATCTGCAAAACCTGAAGTTTAGTTGTAACAATTAATTATTTAACTGGAAATTTAATATCTAATTGTGTCTTGGAATGGATGCATTGTTGGGGGAATATTGAAATACGATGCCAGAACCAGGCTGAAGAAACATAACGCCTCATTATGGCTGTTATATATTGGTATAATTTCTTCTTGCAGATCTGTAATAACTCTTTAGGGTGCTTCTTCCAGGGATCTCCTCCAACGCTCACAGTGCTGCCAGGGGTCTGTGCTTTATGTGGTGTTGTATTTGTCAGGCCTGGGGCTCGTTTGGTCTCCTAAAGTTGAGAAGCAAATGAAAAATCAGGAGCACACACTAAAAGTTTTCGTAGTTTTTTGGTGTTCTAATAAAAGTTGTTCTAATTCACTGATTTGCTGTCTATTGGCAGCAATTACTGAGCTAATTTGATTTTTATTACGTATTAACTTTGTTAGTGTATTTTTAATAAGAAAATATTTTGAGTCTAACATTTCAGGTGCTCTGGGATGGGAGAAGGGTCGTGTTCCTGTGCCAAGCCTGCACTTTAGCCAGGCCACCTGCATGTCCTGCAGGTGAGGGCTGCAAGTGAACACACATTTTTAGAACCTGTAATGCCATGGGCAGATCTACTGTAATTTATCTCTGCTGGTAAACTCGTTGAAGATTTAAATGAAGTTCTTGAGTTTATTTGGCTGTGTTTCCTTGTTGTATGGCAGTTTGAAGTTGGGTTGGTTTTTTTTGTTTGTTTGTTTTTTGGTTTTTGTTTTTTGTTGGTTTTTTTTTTTTTTTTATTGGGGGTTTTTGTTTGGTTTCTTTTTCCCCCAGAGCTGCAGTTCTGGGAATGTTGAGGTGCTGGCCAGTGTGATGGGCAGCTGGCAGGAGGAGAGGAGAGTGCTGCGGTAATACCCAGCCTGGCAGAACCTGACCAATGTCATGTTCATTGGTGTGAGGATGAGGATGATTTTTCTGCCTTAAACAGAAAAAAAGAAAAAAAAAAAAGAGAACTCTGAGGAAAGCAAGTTTTCTGTGCTTTTTCTTTGAGCAAGGGGCCATAAGGAACTCCAGAAATGGGGTGCAGTGCATTGGGATCTCCCCACCTCTTTGCCTCTCCCTGCAGCCCTGCCATGGCAGGCAGACGTGGCATTAACTAATTTGGCTCTGGGTAGTGCTGAACATGAATATGAATTAGAGACAAGAATATGAGCTCTCATACTGACTTTTGTTTAGCTGTTAATCTGTTCCAATGTTAATGTGCCACATGCACATAAGCCCAATTAGGTTGGGAAATGCTTATTTTCCTTTTCACGGCTTCTAAAAACCGAAGCTTTGTTTTTATTTTATAAGCTATTTTAATCTGTTTTATTTTGCTGAAAATAATAAAGGGGATGTATAAACACGTCCAAGGTTTAAAGTTCAGTGACACACTGCACTCTGACCTTCTGACTCTTACATTAAAAGTAAATGAAGGAATGACTCTGAGAGTCTTATTTTGCATTCAGTTGTACCGTGGGTAACAACTTCGCTGGGTGTGAGTGGGGATTTCTTTAAGGGTTTACTTTCCATAAGTGTTTTTACCTCTGCAGCCAAAATAACCCTTAGGCTGGAGTGGGGAAGTTTTTACTTTCCATGGGTATTTTGTAAAGTTTATATTCTCAACTCCTGCTTATATGATAGACTATTCTGCATTATTGATCACTATTGATGATCCTGCTACTTCCCAAACTAAGGAAGGTGTTTCTCAAACACCTCGGAGCTTGTAAACTGAACTTGATATGCAGATGATGCACTTGCTAAAGAAATCATCTTTCAGAAAGACTGGAAAGTGAAATGAGTGTAAACTGGATTCTGTGGGCATTAAATTAATGTTTTAACCTTTTACAAATATTTTATTTGCAGAGGTTTTGCTGATACAGGTGCACACATCAGTTAAAAAAGTCTGTGAGTCAGCCACTCCCATGTTGGTTTACTGCCCAGTGAAATTCGGTGACTTGAATGTTCTCCCATAGTTTGAATCTGCATCTAAATGGTCCTGTTGAACGTCTCAAAGCTCAGCCACCATTTCTCTCTAGCTTTGGGTAGAGTATAAAAGTCCGTGTGACTTACATGAAATTTTGTTGAAGTAGGAGATTGTGTGTGTCTTCTGAAGCTGAAGTTAAGAAACAATTAGGAAGATTTACAAGCATTCATTACCCACAAAATGCAGTCACTGGAACAGCACATTAAAAGCCAACCTCCTGACTCTGCAATAGATAAAGAGAAATCATGTCACATTTGTTTAGAGAAAATATAATGCTGGGTGATCACTGGTTTCTTGGGTAGCACTTCAGTTCCTGCTAGACTGCAAAAGTAATGAAAAATGAAGTTTCAAGTTTGGATTTTCATATTTAAGTGGTGTTATTTTATTTAGACTCATTGAGGCTCAGAAATGAGCTGATCTGGGAAGGCTCCCCCAGGGGTGATAGACTTGCAGTGACTGATGAAGAGTAAACTGAAGTGGTGATGCTCTGGGAGGGCCAGAGGGTATTGGAAAGGGTCTGTCATGCCAGGGAGTTTGTTTTTCAGTATGTCCAACTCTTCATAACATTTCAAATGTTGTAAGACAGGGTAATTGCAGGATTTCAGCCTGCATTCAAGCCTCACATGGCTGTTTGATTCATTGCTAGGATATTGTTCCACATGAAAAAGTTTGGGAATTAACCAGTTTAGTGGCACATAAGCACCAAAGTTTTGGCATGAGCTGGTTTATAACCATTTACCATGTCCTGTGCAGGGCATAGCAATTACATAAATATTGTTTTGCCCAATTTGAAGTCTATTAAAATGTTTAGGTAAGGGAAAATATTTTCAGAGGGATCCTAATCATCTTCCCTTTTCCCAGGACCCACGGAAGCTCCTCACACACTTTCTGGTTTTGGCAAATGTTACCAACTTGCAGAAATGACATGAGTAAATACTTCAGCCATGATTGAAATTCAGGTGTTCTGTCAAATGTGATTTTGTTCTGATCACTGGGTAGCACATCTCAGCATAATGGTGCTTCTGTCCGTTTTCCCCTTTAGTTCAGTTTCCTGAGGATGATATATGTGCATTTTTCCATTAAAAATGAAATATTTTTTAATATTGAAACTGAATCGTGGATACCAGGTCATATATTTATGGTTGAATAAATATATACAGTGACTCTCATTTTTATTATTAAAGCTTTACCGATTTTTATAACTAAACCATGCCTAAATTATTTTTGAGTTTCTGAAATACATGTCTACTTCCAGTTCAGGATAAATTTCTTTATATTAGCTCGTTGAAATGGTAACAGCAGCTGGTGAAGCCATAATATTTTATCCAATGATGCCTGTGTCACATTTCATGCCAATTACTATATCTTAAGAGACTCAGTTATATGAAATTTTATCTACAACCGGCTTGTGCTCCCTGGCTTTTAAATTCAGTATTGCTGAGCGGAATTCTAGGTTTTTGCATCAGACAATGTGCCTTTCAGTGGTTAAAATATTTCTAAAAAGGGTGAAAAAAAAAAAAATCCCTTAACAGAATGAAAAATATTTCAGATACAGATTTTGGATGATGTCCAGTTTCTACATTAGAAATGCTTTCCAACACCAGACGAAGCCTGAATCATAACGACTCATTTAATACCATGTGCTCTCTGAAAAGAAAATGAGATCAGTGGTTAAATGAAATGCCCACAGATCCTGGGCACGGTGCACAAGATCAATAAAGATGATAATGCAGAGATGTGGGAGGACACTAAACTGGGCTGTTATTTAAGATTTATTTTGTCTTCCTGAATCTTGCAGAGTGCTCTATGGAAACAAGATCACGGAGATTCCCCAGGGCCTTTTTGATGATCTTGTGTCTCTGCAGCTGCTGTGAGTATGATCCCTTCCTCTCCTTTATTTTACAGACTAGCTAGATTTACTGGTTTTTTCGGCTTCTGACATTAATATAACCACCTTTTCCACTGCAAACTCACTGGGATGTGCTAGTCTGTTGTGTCTGTGTCAGGCAAGAGGGAGGCAAGGGCTGAAAAAAAAAAGAAAGGGAGGTGTCAACAGTTTTATAGCACAGTGTGTATAATGGATAATAGACACAGAGGATTTGAGTGTGGGGAGGAAATGAGAGAGGGAGTGAAGTCCAAGAAAGGAAATTTGGTCACCGGCTGATGCGTGGGTGGGGATGCCATCTGATTGTTTTTACACATTTAGCGCTTGTGGTTGAATGTCTGGATCCTTGAGGGCTGTGCTGCCAGTACCTGCACAGGCAAGGGAAAGGGCACTGTGAAAGATCTGATTGTTGCAGCTCCTGCTCAGCTCCATCTTCTTCTTACGTCAAAAGCGGCTTCGCTGCTGGGGAGATGATTTCACAATATATTGTGATTTGAGGGTTTTGTGCCATGTGTGATTTAACATGATCAGGGGAAGTTATATATGTTCAGTGCATATTAATGTAGCAAAAAAAATTTCCTAAGCCAAATGTGAAATTGCAAATTTCACTCCTGTCTCCATAACCACATTGGGAACCAGTAGCTCCTTAAAGAGAAGGGAATCATCAACCAGTCAGTAGAGGGAGCAGAAGTGAAATGAGTTTAATATGTATTCCTAATGTTCTGATTACCATCATGGATGATGCAGTCAGAAAATAAAGGTGATATGTCATAAATTAATGGATTCTGGTTTATATCACACACAGCACTCCACTCCCAAACAATAAATTATATAAAATATAGAATATAATGTACCTTCTGGACACGTTATTTTAAGCCTCTGTGATGATCTTGACATAGCCAGCAATGAATATCCAGAAGTTCATGATTGTCATTGGGTCTGTCACTCTGTGATTGCAGTCTTTGCCATCCTTATAGTTCTGTATAAAAGTAAGCATAGGCTTAGATTGGAAATTCATGAGCAAAGCCAAAATAGTCAAATGAAATAAGGGAGGGACTACTCAGACATGTAATTTATCCATAAGATCTTAATTGCAAACATGGACCACCCTGTTCTAGACAAGGACAAGTGAGAGCAGCTGTGGTTTGGCTGTGACAGCCCCTGAGCTGCAGCACTGGGAGCTGTTCATCTCCCACTCACACTGCCAACCATTTTATCTTCACCTTTGGCACACACATGTTCTGGCAGCTCCTTTCCTCTCTCCTGGCCCACACTTCACAAGTTTGTTGTAATTCAGTGTCTCCATGGGCAGCAAGAGGCTGTGTATTTTAGGGGGAGATGGTTTGCCATGTGGGAGGGCGATAACTGAGAGGGCTGAGGAGCTGGGACTGGGTATGAGCAGAGGTAACAGGCAGGTTAGTCCTTGTCTGAGCCTTATGATAGTCCTTCACCCTAAATGTTTCATGGTTACAAGTTTGAAGTGATACAGTTGCTCTGTCCAACCCAGGACACTTTACAGATAGGATCTTTCCCAGTAGGAAAAAAAATAATAGAAAAAAACCCCAACTCACCACATGGATCACAGTGTCCTACAAAAATAAGGGTCTAGAACTTGTGCACAAGGCATTAAACAATTTTCAAGACCTTTATACTATAGTCCTGCATATATTTCAGCCAAGATGAAGTAATTTTCCAGTCAGAATTTCAGTGCAAGTGATACCTTATTGTAAAGGAGGTAAAACCTACATGCCAGAGAACCAGAACCATTGGAAGGGGTTGTGCTTCAACCATTTAAACATTCTCAAGCTGAGAAGATCTGAGTAGGTTGCCCCATTATGGGATTTCCAGAGCATTGATGCTGCAGCCTTTCAGGGTCTTTGAAAGTGTTTGAATGTAAAGTATCTTTTGGCAAGGAGAGCACTGAATGATCATCCTTTAAATGCAAACAGATGTTTGCACACTTTTCTGATTGAGGCTTTGAAACAGCTGTTATGAGATTGCTTGTAGTATTTTAATGGGTACTAAAAAAATAAATGGCATTCGTTGGTCCTAGACCTGCTGTTGAACAATTGGAAGAGTGCCCTGTGATTAGATCTAATTTAGTGTTCAGTGGGCACTAGATTGGATTTCTTCTTATTAGTCTGGAGACACACTGATAAGAACGCTCTGATTAGGGTATCCTGCTAGCCTGTCTGATTTCCTGAGCTGGAGCAGAAGGATTCTTGAAAGTGTTATGGTGAAGCAGAACACAATGAGAAAAAGGGAGTCCTTGTGGACCCTGTGTTATATAGAAGGAAAAAAAAAATCACTGTGAAATTGCAGAACGGAGAATAGTCTTATTAATTATTTTGGATAAGACTCATCGGAATTTCTCAGAAATGTCATTATCCTTGTGTTTAAAAATACTGTCACAATATAGGCCTAAATTATTCCGCTTGTATTTTAGTCAAATTGTCCTGTGTAAGTGCCTTACATCTGCAGACTGTGCTGCTGATGTCAGGAGACCCATAGCTGGGTAAAGTGACACTCAACTCAGGCCTGGTGGCACCTTAAACTGCCCTGTCTGACTTGGGTGTTTTGGAAAAAGTTTTAGACCACCTGGTTGGTCTTACCATTCTGTGTTTCTGTCATAGAAGACTGAGGTGGGTAATCCAGTGTGATATTGTATTTGGCAGGAAAATAACTAGGCATGGTTAGATAATAAGGGGCTGTGGTTTCCTTGTTGTTTTTCTTGTTTTGTTGTTTTTTTTCTTAAACCCTATGGGATTAATACAAAATGTTGCTTATGAAGTTTTCATTATAATTAGCTGTCTTAAGTAGTTGACGTTCCCCACAGAAATAATTGCAATTGAATTTTTGTTAAATTGCTGATTTCACAAATATAGGTCTTCCAAATATGGAGTTGTACCTAACACAGCAGCAAACATCATTCTACAGTCTGACTGCACATCTTTTCTGTGGAGCAGGAGCCTTTCTTGGAACATGTAGTTTTCCATATCCTGTTTGAAGTTGCCCAGGGAGAGGATACTAGAAAGCTGTTGTAGCTGCTGTACCCTGTCCTCATACATTCTTTTCAGCAGGTTGGATCAAGTGTCTTCTGAGAATTTTAGGTCATTTTGTATTTGAGAGAGCTGTACTTTTTTCCAGAAAAGGGTAACTGCAGTCTGATTTTTTAGTTGTTTTTTTTTTTTCATATACAGTGAACTGAAACTTTCACTGGGGGAGCAATCCTTCCAAGCCGTGAAACAATGTTTGATTAATTAACATTGTTTGTGTATCTTGCATTTGAATATCAAAAGAATGGCGAGGGCTCCAGTTTAAGGTGGAAGTTTTCAGGTAACCATTTGCTGCAGACAGTTTGAACTCCTGTCCAGGAGCCCTTCAGCCTGACCTTGGTCTGTCTGGAAACTGGAACATATTTAAACGTCCTGCTCACCTGTCTTTCAACTTCCCTGGAATGTGGACCAGCTCTTTCAGGAGCCCTTGAGTTTGCCAACGTGCCTGCCAGTCACTGCACAGGGGGCAGAGCACAGCAGAGCAGCTCCCTCTCTCTCAGCCAGCGCTGTGACAGGGAACGCTGACGGCTCCTGCACAGTCACCGCGGTGAGCTGGGGGTGACGGGCACTGCCTTTGTGAGCCAGCATTTGTCACAGCTAAGCCATACACCCTCTGCAACCAGATTAAAACAAACATTCTGGGAGCCTTTTTATTGCAGCCCTGTGCTGTGTGCTTCGCAGGGCTCCGTTTCCTGGAACGAGGAGGTATCATAAAATCTCTGCTGCTTAAAGAGACTGTGTAGCAGAATAATATGGGGGGCGAGGTCTCATTTTTCAAATGTCTGGCAAGTATCAGTTTTCAATAAATCCTTCTCCTTGAGGAAATTTACTTTGCATAGTTACCAATCATAAAGTGCTCGGGCGTGTTGATCCTAAATCTTACAGTTGTGATCCCCATGGCTTAGTGAGCAAGGAAGAATCCCCCCAGTGGGCTCTCTTTTGATGTTGCTAAACGTGGATCTACTCCTGGGGTACAGATACATTGAAATCAGAGGTTTGTTGTATTCCTCTCTCAGAAAACAAAGCCGAAAGCCGAAATCTTACAGCCTTCTCCTCTTTCACCTAATATTCTGATCATTAAGGGAGAACTCAACACAGTAGTTGTAAAAGACCAGTAATATTGGTGGATGGAGTTTAACATATTGACAGATAAAATAACTTCAAAAGTGGCGAAAAATTATCACTCTGGGCTTTAAGTGATGTTTAAAATCTTTGTGCTCTGTGGAGTTCTTCAATTTTTGCATGAAGAAAGACAACAGGCAGTTAAAAAAGAGACCTTCTGACCAGATGTAAGGAGACAATGTTTTCACAGCAATGTCAAGTAGTTGGAGTAGGCTGCCCAGAAACTTGTGCATTCTCTGTCCTTGAAGACTTTAAAGACCAAGCTGAATAGAGCTCTAAGCATCCTGGTGTGACCTTGGAGCTCATCCTGTTTTGGCAGTCTAACAAGACAAGAAACCATTCAAGCTTCCTGCAATTCTGAATTATCCTGTGATCTGGTGAAATAATTATTTCTCAGATAAAGCACATGTCTGGATTAACTGTGTATAAATCACCTTTGAGTGAGGTTCAGACCAGGTGACCTGAAGGTCCTTTGCAACCTGTGTCATTTCTGGGTTCTGTGAATCCAAATTCTTAGTAAAATGACATATGAGCTTTTCTCTTGATGACTCTGAATATTTCTGGCTACACTCATCCTTTTAGTCCAGGACAGAATGCTCTCTGCACAGACCTGTTTAGTAGCTTTAGAATTGTTTTCCAGCCATTTGCCTCAAGGTTTTTTCCTTCAGATTTCTGCATTTAGGCTGCTATTGTGATAATGTTACTAAACTCAATAACTGCTGTTAAAGTGAGGGAGCAGCATCTGCCAGACTCAGAAATACAATTACAGTCAAGCACTAATGAAAGACTGCAACAGCATCTGCCTTT